TGATGGGAGTAAAATAGCCTTGATAGGCAAACCACTTTTTGCAATTAGTTTAGCAAGGAGTTTATGACACAAGAAAAGATTGTGATGAGCAATGAAAACCTAAGGTTTGGGATCAACTATGCCACAATGACAATGCAGTTGTGGGGAGGCAAGGAGGTATTGTTCTTATTCCAATCATGTTCCATTCCTATGCAAAGCAGCCTAACTGAGCTATCTCTGCATATTTGGCTTATTCCGTTTGTGGTAAAAAAAGCCATGAATTCTTTGAAAGTGGCATGAAGGTGAAGAAATACAAGTTCTTATACCGCAACTTTTATATTCACAATAATAGAGTTGGTGGTAGAAGACAATCAAAAGAGATTTGGGAGGTAGTTGGAGTGATTGATTTAGTATTAATAGTATTAGTTATCATGAAGGAAAGCCATGGTAGAGTTGGCAAAAGGCAACCTAATGTTAGATATGCATAAAAAGATGATTTATTATTATTATTATTATTATTATTTGATTAATACTTACAATTAATATACATGTATATAAATCAATATTCATATATATATATATATATATATATATATATATTTAAGGAAATAATTTACTTATGGTGAGTAGTTTGTATTATAAAAAATTTAAAAATAGCTAAAATAGAAAATTTTAATAATATTATTAATAATAATAATTAAAACAAGTAAAGTTAAGATAAAAAAATTATAATTCAAAGAAAATATATTTATTTATAAATATTTAATAAAAATAATTCTTATATATCAAGAGTTTATTGATAGAGTTTAAATTTAATTTAATCCAATCATTTAATAAATAAATCTAAAAATTATTTATTAGTATTGATATAATATAGTTTAATTTCACCTTCAAGCATCTTTTTATGTATTAAATGATAAAAAAATTCAATATTTTTTTTTTAAGTATAAAAAACTATATTCTATACAAGCTTAATTGCTTCTTGATTATCACAATACATTATAATGTTCTTTCTAGTCGAGTCATCCAATTTGGAAGTAATTTTTTGATTTTGATAAGAAATTGGAATAATACCTCTATTAAAATATTTCAATTTAATAAATAATTGATGTACCTAGACAACTTCTTATACATTGTTACTCTCAAGGACATGAATATCGAAGAGAGAAAAATCCTCAATACACTCTTGTATCACTGAAGAGAATTAGAAAGTCACTCAAAAGGTGATATAATATTAAACTAGAATGGCTATTGTGAAAAACAAGAAGACTAGAAAGTCTTGAAACAAGACTAAGGACTAGAAATGCGTTAACAAGAGTAAAAAAGACTTCACTTTTGCCTCCATATATACTCTCTAACTAAGAGTAACATGGCAATATTCTATAGGACCTCCAACATGTATTGACTTTACTAGCCATATGTCTTAACTTGCAAGGTGAGATATCTATGTATGTGCCATATAGTTAGTTTGTTCCATAAGCTATTATATGGAATTAACTTGTTCTACAAGCTACCAATACATTATTAAGTTGTTGGCCAAGTTTCTAATCTATTAATACATCTAAAGTCAAAATTATATCTATAGAGCTTCTAAGAAGCTTCTCTAGAAGACTTAATGAAATTAATCTATATTTACCTACTTCTACCTAATCATATAAGTAACTATTGGGATAAATGTATATGTCCGTGACAGTTAGTAAGAGCTTGTTAAGGACATGAATCAAGATAAGAAGAATCTTGAAACATTCTTATGTAATTCAAGAAGAATAAATATACATTCCAAAAATATTATAATATTTAGATTAGAATGGCTATTTTCAAAGACAAGAAGAGTATAGACTCTTGAGACTAGACTAAAAACAAGAAAAGTATTGACAAGAGTGAAAAAGGCTTCACTTTTGCCTCTATATATATACTATCAACAAAGAGCTATATGGCAATGTCCTATAGAACCTCCAACACGTGTCTAATTTGGAAGTCATGTATTTTAACTTGCAAGGTAAGTTTTCTATATGTGTACCTCATTGTTAGCTTGTACTAAAAGCTATCTATACATATAATATATGGCTAATTTGTTGACTAAGTTTCTAATTTATCAATCAACTATAAAGATGTTTAAAGTCAAATACACCTCTATGAAGCTTTGCCATAAGATACTATCAAATCTACCTAAATTTATTTTCTATCTAGTATTTTTTATCTGAGTAAATATATATATTTGTGACAGAGCTTGATATTTGGATTCTATAAAAGATCTTCATATTATTAGTTGGTGCTTATTTTGCGAGTTAATAGGCCTCCCTTCCATTGCAAATACATATGCTTCTATTGATCTTTGTATTTCTAAACATGAGTTCCAATTTGCTTTTGTATATCTTCTTACAATGCAAGGTCTCTCTTTACGATAATAAATTCTATAATCCACAATATACTTGATATAACATAAGATATATATTTTTTGCTTTCAAGTAGATGTCTTCTAATTAAGACATGAAGCTATTCTTTCTACTTACTACATAAGTAATATTTAATCTTTTAATAGTTAAAAATAGGGGTTTTTTTAAATAAACAAGAAAAGAATGTTGCATTGTACAAGGTAGAATTTGTATTGTTGATTAGAAATAATTCTTCTCGTATTTTTTTTTTTTCAAAGATAACATCTTTAGAAATAATTATTTATTATGTCATATGATCATAGTACCAATATGTTTTGTTATTTTTGTCGTAGCTTATGAATAATATATACAAAGCTTTTAAATCTAACTTATTTCTATAAATTGAAAGTATATGATAATATTCTACACAATTAAAAATTTATAAGTGAGATAAGTTACGTTTGTATTCAATACATGCTTCTTTTTGAGTTAAATGTATTAAATCTTTTGTTAGGAATCTATTTTGTATATAATTCATAGTTTTTATAACTTCCTCCTATAGATATTTAGGTACTTTTTTTTTAGTAATAACACTTCTTATTCCCTCTAGAATAGACATATTTTTTTCTTTTTTCTAGATTGATTTGTTGAGGATAATAAGCTAAAGTAAGTTCTTTTCTAATCCCTTCTTATTTGTAGTAGCTCTGAAATTTTTTGGATAAATATTCACCTCCATAATTTTTTCTTAGATATTTTATTTTTATACTTAAATTTTTTATTAATATTTTGAATTCTTTGAACTTATTAAATATTTATGACTTCTTTTGTAAAATTGTAACTAAGTCTTTTGCATGTAATCATCTATAAATGTTAAATTACATCAATTGATTTTTTTTTTATGGAATAGATAAAAGACCACATAAATCAAAATAAACTATTTCCAACTATCTTATTATAAACCAACTTCTTGTCTTAAGAACATATTCCTTATGTAACATCTCATGCATACAACTTTCATAAACTTCTTTCTACAAAGGTAGTTGTGGTATTCCACCAACTAATCCTTGATTAGATAAATAATACAACAACTGAAAGTTAAGATGACCAATAATCTTATGCCACAATCAAATAACAAGTTTAGCAATATGAAGTATTTTTGGTCTATGTACCTTGTTTATTATTTTATTGATGTTTGAAATACTTTCTTCTTTTGGCAATGAGGTAGCTAAGATTAATTCATATATTTTTTTTTTGTGATATAATAAAGCTTGTTCCTTGCTAAAATAACTTGTATATAAATACTCCTTAAATTATCTTTATCAAATATACAAATAGGATGTGGAGTTGAATAATATAATGTATTCTAAATCTACAAATTTTTCAATTGATAGTAAATTTTTTTACTTATTTGCCACAAATGTATTGTTTTAATCCTTATTCTAACTTAATAGCATTATTGTTCTTTGCAAATGGATGATGATTATACCCTCTTTTTTGATGATGACTTCTAGAAGAGCATCTTCTAAAATGTGGATGAAGGCTTTATCTGTTGGGTCTAGAGTCACAAAAATATTTCTTCTTCATTATCTTTGGTTTTTTTTGAGTTGAGAAGAAACTTCTTCATTTAATAGTAATCCTTTTAATTTTAAAAAGGTAATTCAATACTATAGATAGTGTGCACAAAGACAACACTAGATAGAACAAACTTCCTCTACTTTCCTTGAACAACTTTGCTTATTCAAGTAAAAAATTCTACAATATTCCCTCAAAAGCGTAGCTTTGATACCATGTTAATATTCAATCGTGCACTCTCACAGATTGAATATTATCAATCAGATATTATTTAAGCTACCACCATGCAAGTTACATCCAACAACTATGGCAAACAAGGTAATTTTGGACTATTTTAAGAAATTCTGAAGCAAACAATGCACTTCATTAAAAGTGCATAGAAGGAATTAAGATTATTTGATTCCATACTGTTGTGATATTTTTAAATACACTAGCAATCATTTTTATTTTTTAATCCAATTTGTTTGGTAGATATAAACATGTATACCTGTTCCACCTTGTATGTGTAGATACTGACTCCATACAAGACCCAAGTTTCAATCATACATGGTGACAGCACATTACAGTACAGAAACAAATATCATTGTGACAAACATAGAGTTGTAGCTCATCCTACATGCAAGATGTTATTGTATGCCATATTATTCAATAGCATCATTCATATACTGCAAATATATGTTTACCCCAATGACTTTGTGAATTGTAAGCATCGTAAATACTAATTCCAAACTACACAATGTCATGGGTAGACAATGCATGAATACACAGCACCATCAAATCAATTTCTGATTCCTACAACTGCACATCATTCTTTTTACTTATTAAATGTTGCTTTTCTTAAGAATTTCGAGATGGAATTGAACTAACTCCATTACCTGAGTCAAGCCGCTGGTAGCTTGGACAGGCACGTAGGCGGGAGAATGTTTGCACTGATCAAACTGACGGGGCGCCAGCGTGGAGCCGTCGTGGCGTGCATGCAGAAGTCGCGCCATGGCATCGTACAAGAGGACCTGTACAAGTGGCAACACGGCTTGCTGGGCACTGGACACATCAAATGGATTGCATGACGCTCTCTGGGGCCTTGTCGTCATGCACCACCGCAATGGCCATTACCCGAGTCTGGAAGCATCGCTAGCATTTCGATCCTCTCCCTCGCCTTCAAAACCTCCGGGGAACACTCCAACCATCGCAGTCGTCATTCAAGTGAATTCCATTCTCGTATTGCACCGAACAAGAACTTTTCTGTTGACCAGGTAGGCATTTTTCAGGGGCTGTGGGACTTGCTTTGATTTTCATTCCGGTGGTCGATCTAGTGGTTCTGGTATTGTCATGTGGTTTTGCGATTGAACGATGTGAGTAACGGGGAACTTTTTACTCGCAGAGAAGCAATTCATCTGATGTTTGTGAGGTGCTAATGTGTGTGGTTCAGTGATCTTGAATCTTTCGTAAATTTTAGCTGTAGTCGGATTTACGTTTTCGCAATGGCGGAATTCCGACCCGCACAAGAGCAGTCGCAGCACCCTGGAGAGGAGCATTTGATGGATCCTGTGCCTCGTCACCACGGAACCAACTACAAGGCTGCTGGCAAGTTGAAGGTGCGTAATAAGCTCATGTAATCAATCAGATGGGTACTCGGGAGCTTTTCTGACTCTTCTCTAGAGTAATATGCAGGAAAAATGCGGATGGATCATCCGGAATGAATACCAACTAGCTATCAATGTTTTGATTATTGCTGCAGGGAAAGATAGCTCTAGTGACAGGCGGTGACTCCGGCATAGGTCGTGCCGTGGGCGTGCTCTTCACACGAGAAGGTGCCACAGTGGCCTTCACATATGTGAAAGGAGCGGAAGAAAAAGATGCGGTAGACACGATTAATTTGCTGAAGCAGTACAAGGCAGAAGGTGGTGGCGAAGGAGAACCTCTTGCAATTCCCTGCGATCTAGGATTCGACGAGCAGTGCAAGAAGGTTGTAGACAAAGTCGTTGAGAAGTATGGCCGAATCGACATCCTGGTCAACAATGCGGCAGAGCAGCACGTCGTGGAGAACATTGAGGATCTCCAGCCTGAGCAGCTGGAGCGGACGTTCCGCACCAACATCTTCTCCCAGTTTTACCTCGTAAGGTACGTTGTTTCGACGTTTCAATAGAAACAGTGTTGTGCGTTTGATCGCATATTCCTGAGATCCTTCTTCGTCGTTGCCAGCAGCTAATTTGAGAATCTGCTTAGAGAGACTTAAACATTGTTTGAATTGAGGTTTCGGTGCAGCTCCTTGCTGTGAAACACTGTGCTAACTTTAGGTGTGTTCAGACATGCCTTGAAGCATATGAAAGAGGGTAGCTGTATTATTAATACGACTTCCGTTAATGCATTCAAGGGCAACACCACACTTCTAGACTACACTTCCACAAAGGGCGCCATTCTTGCCTTCACTCGGGGACTGGCTCTTCAGCTTGTCAAGCGCGGAATTCGAGTAAATGGTAAGCAATCATCCGTAAAGATTTATCGTAAATTGGAGATTCCTTTGCAATCCGTCCATTCTTATCAGAGATTTGCTGGTAGTGTAAAGTTCTGGTTGGAGACCTAAACTTGGATCTCTCGGTTTTCCGATCTTAACGGGTGATTATGCACATTATGTTGTGCAGCGGTAGCGCCAGGCCCAATTTGGACGCCGCTCATTCCAGCATCAATGGGTCAAGGATCGCCTGAGAAGATGAAATCCTTCGGTTCGCAATGCCCAATGGGCCGTGCTGGTGAGCCAGAGGAAATCGCAACGGCGTATGTTTTCCTTGCTTCAGAGGATTCCTCTTACTTCACTGGCCAAACCCTGCACCCGAACGGTAAGTATCACTAAATTTCCACAAACTCCACTGCAATTGTTGCTTCAGCTTCGTTTGTGCTAGAGTTTTTGTGAGATTCTTTTTGAAAATGGTCTGCGTCTAAGTTGAGTTCTGGTGATTGCAGGTGGAATAGTTGTGAACGCATAAGCACCAACGAAAAATTGCATCACTTAGTGGGAATTACGAATTTGTTCGGTAAACAGAGTTATGAACGTGCTATCAATTGCCGGCATAATTAGAGCTGCAGCATGAGCTGAAAATGCTGTGTATTTGTGTAAACCTGTAAATGGGTATATCAAAGGTTCATCATGATGAGATCTGAGTTCAATTTGCACAGTGCTCCATCACTTCTTGTAGGTATGATTTGCACAACATATCGGCTGTTGCTATCACATCATCCACTCACGAACCTTGTTATTTGAGAATCTCATCGAGGTTTGTACATCGGATGGTTTGCTGAGCTATTGATCTCCTATCCTGCATTGCAATGAATTGCTATGTCATGGGCATAGTTTCACTTGTACTTAACTTTGTCGACCGAGGAAATGGAACTCCATTCTTTAAATAGAAACTTTCATTTACCCCACACCATTTATACTGCAAGTATTCGGAATGCCTGATTCAACGTTGTTGGTAGCTAGTCTCCGCAAATCATTGTTGAAATCTTGCCAAATTGCAGCTCTTCGATGTTTGAATCAGCAATCAAATCCTAGCTTTCGAAATTGCCACAAACCTTTCACTTTCCAACACAGTTTTCCTGTCTCTTCTGGTATTTTATGCTCTTTGTTCTTGTTTCTTGCTTGAAACACAAACAATTCACTGCAGGAAAGGCAACATCATAATTAGCGTCCTCACACCCCTTGAGTTTGACGGTATAAGACTTATCAAAATTTCATAACAAGACATAGCATTATTATAGACATCCACTTAGTGTATAACTTGCCGAATGCCTCAGCCGTGATCTTTCCGCTCCCCATATCCAAGGCACCATGCAATACTTGTGGCGACATCGAGAAGCCTGTCATAAAACATCCGAATTAAAATTCAAAATCTGCCACCTAGCAAAATAATGGGTATTCACTTATACTCGGCTCACACCCAAGATTTGAGTTGGAGATCTACACGTTTGATGCTTTTAGATTGCTGTGAATATAATCGTCGTTGTGTAAATCTTGCTTTCCTATTGCGATTTGAAGCATGCACAGAGTAACTATATCATCCACACACATCAATTGCTCCAGTTCAGGTTCAATGTTCACTGCGCAGGAGACGGAAAGATGATAGTATATGTTTGGAAGATGCATGGTGGGACTCAATGTGCTACATGATCCAGAATTGCTTTGAGTAGAAAAATATTGTTCAGTGCTACCACATATTTTGACCACCATCCTCACTAATCCTGTGGTTTCTAAAATAGCGTGCGACTTTGGAAAGAGGCGAAGACGCGGAGTACGTTGACGCGAAGATTGAAGTCCTTGAAGCTGAGTTTCCATGGGTCCAGGCGGATTTGAGGATTTAAAACTATTGTTGAGACTGTGGTTTTAGTGAGCCGTGTGCAAAAGCATTTATGTTGGATAGGCTTTGTCGATGGCTTTAACTAGAGCTCAGAGAGAGGACGTGGTCTTCTAACTCAGAGTTAGGCACCTGACTTATTGTGTACGTGAAGATATACGATGTAGTCAGGCGCACCAATCGTATGAATAAATGTGGAAGCTGGGTCCTTTTGTAAGCAGTAGACTCGAACAGAGTTTCTCAAGTTCCTGATTTCTTTGGAAGTAGATCGTGAGAATCTTGGTGTTTTGAAAGTTGACATGGGTGCTGAGCTTCTGTAGTGCTCTCTGCAGTAGATAATTAAGCAAAGAGGCACCTGATCTTACCAAAACGCTGTCCTGAGCTCTGAAATCCCTGAATTCATGAGGAAGCAACTGCCAATTTACATAAACGTAAGTGCTGTTTGTAGCAGAGTATTCTTGTTTTTGAATGGCTTCGGATGGCTGGAATTCATCACAGTTTGCACTCCCTCACAAGTCTAATTGTTGATTTGAATAAGTAGGGAGGACACTCGATGATGTTGGTGACAACCTCCCCAAATGGATTCCTAAATGAGAGCTCTATGTTATCAACACAGGCCCTTCGATGGCCTTCACATTGTTCCCGATTTGCAAGCAATGACCTACTGGGTATCGTCTGGTTACGGTACGAGAAGCCCGTGATCCCCGCAAAGCATTAAGGAGCGTAATACCTGGCTGGGAGATTAAGAATCTAGCTGATGGGTCCGTGGATGGAATGAAATATGGAGGTGTCACAAGGTAGTCCATCTCATAGACTATGGCTTGCAGTTACTCAATCTGTTACATCGAAGTAGCAATGAACCACTCTAGTAGAAGGTGATTCACCAGGAGGTCAGAGAATAATTGGTTACAAAGCTACTCTCATGTCATTTCTGTGATACAGTCTACATGATATTCCCCATAATTTTTGGTGTCCACAAGACTGACATTTTCTCTGATGCAGGCTGCAGCAACGAAACGATGTCATTCAGATGCTGACCACGCACAATACCGGTGAAGCCTCGTTTACATCAATGTGAGTGCCGGTTATAGCAGAGTATACTCGTTTTCAAATGGCTTCGGAAAGTTGGAATTTACCACAAACTCCCTCACAAGTCCAACTGTTGATTTGCATAGGCAGGGAGGAAACACTCGATTATGCTGATGACAACCCCCCCAACTGAAATCCCAGACAAGAGCTTGATGTTACCGATGCAGCGCCTTCGATGACCTTCACATTGTTCCCGGTTGACGAGCAATTACCTCCCGGGTATCATTTGGTTACAGTATAAGTCTGTGAACACCATGAATCGTTGAGGAGAGCTATGTCCTGCTGGGAGATTGCAAATCTGGCTGATGGTTCCGTGTATGGGATGAATTACGGAGGTGTTACACAGTGATGGTCACGCACGCTTTTGTGTCTGTATTGTAGGCTAGAGCTTACGTTGACTGAATTGATTACATCAATATAATAATGAACCACTCCAGCGGAAGGGGATTTACCAGCGGGGCAGGGAATAACTGTTTACAGAGCTACTCTTGTTTCATTTATGTGATGCAGTCAAATCGATATTCCTTGAAATTCCTGGTACCCACAAGACTGACATCTTCTCTAGCGCAGGCTGCACCAGCGCACCAACGTCGGCCACATGCTGGCAACGCACGATCCTAGTGCAACCTACGCAAAAATGAATATATAAGATCTCAGGGTCAGTACTCGCCCATGCTCGCAGCGCAGGATACCCGCATTTTTAATAGTGTTAGTGGGGATACTCATATTTCATGTAGAAGAGTGAAGCTTGAGGCTCCCGAGAAACGTGTACCAAGGCCGAGGGAGAGCGGAAATTCTTGTGACACAAGAGGGTAAATCCATGGCCGTTATGTCCAGCCCTCTGAGCTTCTATCATCAAAGTTTCTGGAGACCATTCCTAGTTTTGATGGTTTGGAAACCGGTGCAGTGCAGGAAGTGATTCTTCTCAGGAGTGGTATCCTTCATTATGACCTCTGAGAACGGTTTTCTCGAATTCGAGGGAGATGTGTGCCATTTGAAACCATTTCTTGGTATCTAATCCAGCTTCTCTGTCGCATTGCTTTTGAAGCTTTTGAAGTGAATAGTGCTGTGCTTGCATGCAAGAGACGTAATCTTTTGACTCTGCCCTGCAATGTCACTATTCTTTCTCAGAACCAGGCTTGAATGGTGATTCTCTTGAAATGACGGAATGTCTTTAATGCTAATTACACCTGAGCGGTGCTGATAGAACTTCCTCCATACTTTGCTCGAAAGAAAATCGAACAATCATGTTGTATTATCGTTCTCAGTTCTTGTCTGTGCCCATACACATAACTCAAATTTTTTGCGATTCCCTCACTTTCTTCTAGAAGAAATCAGATACTATGTAGGCTGCAGCTATACAATTTCTTTTACATGAAAACGAGTCAACAAGTTTGATTGTGTTTGTGCAACTCGAAATTTTGGCACGAACGGAATCATTGTCAAATGCTAGAACAATGCTTTTTCCTGGAACTTTAGGAACAACATCATCAATTGAAGGATTGCCACAAATCTAATTCAAAACACGCATAGATCCACTAAATATTTAATAATGACGACCCCAACTGCATGTTCCTCAAACAAGTGTGAGAACCTGACACAACGACAAATATTACAGTGGACACCGAAAGGAGCAAAATTGTTTGTATTACAAAACTAGGCAATAGAAACCACTCCTCTCGCACCTCTGATCTTCAAAACAATTTAACAAATGCTTCTGACACGAACAATAAAATCAAAATGTTATACTCCAGACACTGTAGGTAAAGCTCTTTCAAGGTTGTGTATTTGTGAAGAAAAGAACCCCATCATACATTGTGACTATTATTTTAGAAAATCCAAAAGAATCAGCATGTAGAAAAGATGTTTTATTTCCAAAATTTGAAATAATTAAATTTAAAAGTTGCACTTATATGGCTTTACAAAAATTCCAAAATAATCTAGATTGTTATTGAAGGTCTATCAACGTGACTCAATTTTTAAATTGTCTTCATACTCAATTAAGCTAGCTAGTATGTGATTTTTGGCCACTCTACTTCAATGAAGTTGTATCCATTTATTTGACGTTTTTTTTGGTCCTGAACTCTACAGTGGAATAATGTAGTTTATTCCTCATCTTGACTTGATTCCAATTCCATATTTTTAAAGTTTCTATTAAAGTGTCAACTAATTTCACTCTTGTCATTCAACAACACAAGTCATGTGTAATAGAGACATAAGCCTTTCTCTTTACTTCTAAGATTACAATATTAATCTCTCCATTAATCAACATACTTATTCTTTGATCTTTGCTATCCAATCCTTTCAAAAACCTCATAAAAGCATAATACATTTCTGTGCTTTCAATGGATCTAATTTTACTTTGACTTCATAATATTCAATTGTATGTCGTAATTGAGACAAGATATATTCATAATACACAACAATTCTATAATATGCGATGATTATAATTGCATATGTTTCTTCTTTCTTATTTATTTATTTATTTTCTTGTACTTTATAAAAATATTTAAAGCCTAATTTAAAATAACAATATTTTTTCTAACCATATATTATCTTTGTGTATGGCTTGATTCTTTTTTCTTTTTTCTTAATTAAGATATTTTACAAAGATGAATCACTAGATAAACTAATCAATTTTTTTTGAGTTAAATATGAAATGATGCAAAAACCAAAAACATATATTATTTTATCAGTATATTTTATCAATAAGAATAGAAAATAAGATATATTTATTTTTACAGGAATAAACATAATTGCTATATCCACCCAATTTTGATATGTAATCTTCTATCTAATTTATTAAGTAGAAATATCTTCCTTTGTTTCCTTTCAGGAAACAAGTCAGGCGAAGTCCAAAAGACCTCGCAAGGCGATTGTCGCGATGGCCGCAAAGGGCTCTGAGGATCCCCACTGGGCGTCGTCATTCACCAAGCGCTATGTTAGCGGGGCCGGTCTTCACATCAGGCTCCCCTGATGGACCTCGCTTCCCCCTCTTGTTGCCCATCAATGGCCAAATCGTTATTGCAATCTATCGTTTTGGTTGCTGCTTCGTGCGCGATCCGCGAGCTGGAACGAGCGTCAACACCTCCACTGCCATTGCTCCTGCCACCATGGCGAGTTCATCGAATTCGCTAGCTCTGCTTTCCATTTTTGATCTTAGAATTGTTTTTTCTCGTATATCTCCATTTTTTTTTGTGCGCGTTTTGAAAATCGGTAGGTGTTGCATAGGCTGAGGGGAGTAGGCGTGCGTAGTGTGGTGCTCACATCTGAGGAATTGCTTTTTGCGTAGATTTAGTCCGATTACTCTTCCCCCTCGCAGGTGATTTCCATGTATGCTAGAATAGCTGACAGAAGGGTGAAGATGGAGAAGGAGGGGTTAGCTGTTTTGGGATTTCAGTTGCTGTTCATCTTCGCATCGGGGTGCGCAGTGAACTAGATTGCTGTGTAGGAGGATAGTGCATTTGTAGTTGTGTGTTTGCATTGTCTTTTTCGCAGTTTTGTAAAATGAATGAAGGGTTTCCCTCAATTCATAGATACTGTTAGGGTTTCTGTGATCTACTACTGTGCGTTACTCGTGTGTTTTTTCTTCTCAGATCACTGAATGTTAAGCTGACTTTGCACTGTGCAAATATAGTATCGAGAATGTCGTGGATTGTTGCAACCTTGCCTCTAGTGTTCATCGTTCATCATTCGCGATGTATTAATGAATGGATCGTTGGTTGTGCCATAGTGATAAAAAATTAGGAGTTCGAACCCCGGGTAACGTCCCAAATCAAGAGATATCCGCTAAATTGTAGTTAGGTCTGAAGTGTATTATTCTGACATAGCGGATAGTTGATCTGTTTCTTTAGCTTTGACGTCGAGTTTTGCTAGATTGCACCCTTACCAGCCCTGACGGCGTTCATCTCTGCGGTAGTGGTGGTGATGATTAAGATAGAACCAGTAGGCTCATTTTGTGCAGTGCGTAGTTGTACTAGAGCTTGGTGTCGAGAAAATAATGCATTCTCTTCAACCATGTATGTTGTTGATCACATTTGCAAATTGAAATTCTCTCAGCGACTGTGACTGCGACTGCGTTCTTACCACAGTTGAGAGGCAGTCCCTTAAAGAGGTTGTGTTTCTGGGTGCCCTGGTCTGGAATGATGCCAATGCTCAAGCGTTGTCTTCATTATCATATTCCACGATGGATTAGGGGCGTTGAGTAGAACGTGTTAGTGCTGTAAAAAATGCTAATCTGGGTTTGTGTGGAGTCGAGTCGTATTGATTATCTCTACCTCACTATTGTACGATTTTCCTTTCCGCCAACTCAAATGAACCGAATTTGTTGTTACTACTGTTGGTTGAGCTTTCTCTTGCTTAATCATTGAGTAAAACTTGCCATACTAGAAGTATCTATTCCATCATCTGCATGGCTTGCATGTGGGATAGAGTATTTCTACCTATACAGAGGTTTCAGTGTTCCGATTTCGGTCTTGCTTATATCCAGGAAGGAAGTACGTACGTATATACGCATTTACGTAAATTGTTTTGGAACTGAACAGTTCATTCCTACAACTGAGGTTTGTAGACGATATAACTGCGAGTTGCTTGTGGAATGCTTCGCTGATGAATGTGGTTCTTTGCAGGCAGAAGAGCAATATGCGCATCCGGGGATATGCCTGTTCACAGTGCTGTTTAAGGTAGGCACGCCTGAGAACCTGTTTTTAGGTTGTCTCGGTTATGATATCGCTGCAATCGGCATTACATACAGAGAAACAGCCTTGCAACTCTTTTCCTGAAGAGTGCCTGTGTTTGCGATGCAGATTTCAGCCCTGGGGTTTTATATTCTATGCTCGATTTTCATTGAAAGCTTCGTGATCCAATTTGTCGTCACGGTATTCCTGATAGCGTTGGATTTCTGGACCGTCAAGAACGTGAGTGGTCGAATTTTGGTGGGACTGCGGTGGTGGAATGAAGTGGATGAGCAAGGTCAAAGCGTGTGGCACTTTGAGTCTTTGGATCAACAGGTTGGTTGTCATACTTTGTCTGCGTTTGCTATTTTTTGTACGAGCGTCTGATAAGTTAAGTTGTGGTTGTTTTGTGGAATATGAGGTCTCATTACTTGGTACTCGCAGAACCATGTCTAGTTGATGGTTGATTGCGAGGATTTCTGCGCTGAAATGAAGCGAGCATTTTGTGCTCTGCACTAGGTGCCCGCTTGGCTACTCAGTATTGATCCAAGTTATTGAGGGATTGATGTAGTTTCTATTCAAAATGAATTCGTAGTAAGAGATTGCAGATGTTGACTTAAGATTGGTTATGGATGACGTCTGCAGACCTTGGAGACATTGAACAAGAAAGATGCTTGGCTATTCTGGTGGACGCTGTACCTTACTGTGAGATTTTTACAGCTTGAAGCTTGCATTTCTATTATGTTAAACTATATATGCAATCCCTATACATAGAATGAATTTATGGATAGAATTGGAGCTCTGTTGGATGGTCCCCATGTTAGCTCAACTTGTGCTGGCCTTCAGCAAAGGCAACTTGGTTACGTTCCTTAGTGTGCTTCTGTTGATTTGAGTCTACCTGATTGAATATGGTTGCTTTCTTTATGCTACAGCCTGTGGTGTGGGTGGCTCTTGGGATAGTCGCCCTTGTCAAGTTTAACTTTGACTATCTGCTCATAGTTGGGGTGGCCATAATCCTGAATGCAGCCAACATTGTGGGTTTCACCAAGTGTCGGAAAGGTTCCTCACATTCCCCATCTTCTGTGTCATTTGATATTGTTCAGGAAGGTCTCTTTGAACACCTCACAGCAGGCTTTGATATGAGCCCAAGAATCTTTGGTTCTTTATCTTCATTCTCATTGGGTAGATGGATGGCATGTCTGGTTCTTCACTGAAGTTCAGTGAAGTTTTTGCATGCTTGGTGATATATTTCCTTGACGCAAGTTGATTTTCCTGTGCAGATGCGAAGAAACAGATCCAGCAATTTGCTACGTCAACTTTGACCGCTCATATGGGCAGCACAATCCAATCAGCTTTCATGTCAAGTGTTTAGTTGTGGGTGATGCATAAAGTACCAGTGTTCATGTTGCGGAAATGGAATGTAGGACCTTGCATTGCGTCGGTGAAGATAATTTCTTACTTACTATCAGGGCGCGCATTGAACTTTGTGGACGAGGTTATTATGTACATTTTTCCAGGTTCTGAACGTGTAGTGTCGCTAGACTAGGAATATCAGGGAACATTTGTAGATGTACAGAAATGTAGAGTATATTTCAATTTGTTCGGATCGGGTTTTTATTTGTTACAGTAGAACAAATTTAGATACCTCAGATGTGTGTAATTTTCAAGTATGAATTTAGCGAAGTTTCACTCGTCTACCTGCCGATAATGAATAAGGCATGGGCTTATCCTTCAATCTCACTGGCTCATCATTTATTTATATGTGTCAAGTAAATAATCTGCAGTTGTTTTCAACTGACATGGTGCCGACTACTTCTAGCATCTATTCAAGACTTCTAGCATTGTATGGTCATCGGGGTGACGATGAACGTACGAGTACCTAGGGCTGGGTAATACACTGAGAGGTACAAATTTTGAAAGATATCGACCATTAACATTAGTTCTGCTGAATCCTCTTAAAATTTGAGAACATATCTGACTCTCTAAAGTCGAACTCTCGTTGACGGATTGATCGTAGCACTGTCATTCTCGGTTACAGTCATAGCTGACGCACGTTCTCCCTGTTAATTCAGTAGAGTTAATGATCGAAGAAGATAAGTCTTCAGTAGGGATTGAAGGGCATGACTTGATGATAAGCAGGGGCAGGTCTACTGAAGTGGTTTTGCAACACATTTCTGGCCAACTGCACGTCGCGTACAAATGTTGTGCGCGCCTTTGCGTAAGGTACATCTCGATCTGCAACCGAGTAACCAGCACAAACACAAGTCAATCTGATTGTAGCATTCACTCAAAGCGAATAATTTTTCAGAGTTGAATAATTTACCAGCGATTCATGTCGCAGAAGCAGATTCACATGTTACGTTGCGTTGGATCGTCACTTACGATGTCGGTGAGGTCGCGTAATGGCGATTTTTCTCTTCCAGCAAAATATGCCACCGCCCACAAGACATATCAAGCCTGCGGTCAGCGAAAGGGTCACAGCTAACTTCACGCTCAGTGGCATCGTTGAGCATGGTCGTATGCCGATCCCGCACAACCCAGGATTATTAGTCACACTGTACACAACACGAATTATGTGGATTTGGTACTCAGGGCTGTCTCTTCTGCGATGAAGAAAGCTCCAAACTGCGAAAACATTGGGTGAGCGTAACACAGAGGAAACAATTGACATACTTCATGATTGTGCCACGAATTGGAAGGGCTCCCACAGCCCCTGGCAGCTCGCCACTTAGAAAGTTGTCATTAAGCAACCTGCATGAATCAATTTAACATAGCCATCTCGGATGAGAGTAGGTCATAGAGTGGGTTTGCAGTACCATTAATCTCCACGGCTGTACTCAAGACATACAAGCACTTGAGGAGCTTACAATATTTTCAACGTGAGTTTTCCCAGACTGGCGGGTACCAACCCACTCAGGCGATTGTGCGAAAGGTCCCTGTACCATGACCAACCACCAGAAGAATTTGTTCACAACAAAGACATAGACAAGTCGATTACAAATCGAATACATTCCAAAATGAAGCCCGTGAACTTGTGTTGGAATAACAGACTTTGGCAACTTACAACGAGGTAAGGGAAGTCATGTTGCCGAAAGAGGAAATCTCGCCTTCCAAGAAATTGTTGCTCAAATTCCTGCTCATGGGGCAGACCGTCAAGGAACAGAAGAACTCGTGCTTTAAAATTGCTTTCTGGTGAAATTGATGAACCTCGACGTTTGCAAACTGTGTAAACCAAGGCATGGAGAACCGTACTTACAGTGCTTGAAGCTTCCGCAATGCCGGCCAGGTATCACCTATCTGACCCCGAAGTCCCTCGTTATTTAAATTACTGCGTGATTGTAAATTCATGCATTCAGTGAGATCGATTGAAAGGGTTGTCTACTCTCGTGGTCAGAGGGATCGGGACCAAGACTGCATTGTTGTGATCCCGAAGACGGAGTACTTACACTGCAGAAACGAACCAAGCGCCGGCTTTGGAGTCGAACGCGCAGCTTACACCTTCCCATGGATGCAGCGGAGGAGCACACGGATCTCCGTTCCATCCTAAACGGGATGGTAGTTGAAGGCTATGTTTGATATCGTGAAGCGCCCACACTGCGGGATACCATATCCACAGTAAGGAGTAGGTTGCGAAGTTCCTGTCAACGGTCAACCATTGATCATCCATGCAACTACATGCATAATCAAGAGTCAGCAAAGTGGTCATACCAGTTTCGTCTTGGGTTTCGTATCCCCGCGGAATGATCTGGAAGACTTCTAATGCATTCACCGCAACAGGCCCCTTCACGGCGACGAAGCTGATCGTCAAATTACTGCTCGTCACCATCACCGTCTTGTTCAGGGTAAGAGCTTTGAATGGCTCTCCTACTATCTTCACAATGTCTATTCCTTGAAACAAGAGAGCGCCGTTGGCCATCACGTCGAACACTCGCATGTTGGGTCCCGTAATCCAAGGGTGGATCTCCGCGAAGTGCAACCAAACCGAGTAATTCTGGTTGGGTTGTACAGAAACAGTGTACGAGAGTTTGCTTGTTGTCCCAATCGTGGTGGCAGACTGGTATATCGCTTCAGGGTAAACGTTAGGCGGGTTGCCGAAGTTGCTGATTCTGGCAAGCGTGTGGATTGCTTCCCCCGCGCACCCTGAGACGAAGAGGTCCTGGTCCGTAGCCCAGTGGCGATCGCCACCCCATTCATCACCGCGCACCCTGGACCCAAACCCAGATTCCTCCGCTCCCGCTGACACCCTCTTGACAGTGCGCATCACCACGTTCAGATTCGCCGAAGAGCCCATATTGTAAGCGTCGACATACAACTGCAGAATCTCAAGCGAGGCAATGGCGGGGTTTCCGTGCCCTGCGCTGTGGAAGCAGACAGTGGCAGCGCCATCAGTGATGTGGAGAAGCGATTCTGCGTATGCGTTGCTATCAATTGAGCTCCACCCAGGTGCTAGTGAATGCACCAGCGTTCCTTCCAATGATACTTCAAAAATCGGCTCTCTCCCTCCGTTATCTTCCGCTCCGAACGAGAAAAAGAACCTGAACAAAAATTGAGAACTTTTTGTGAGGCATGATACACTCCATCAGGAAAGTGGATAACTTAGTAGAGGTTTCTAGTAGAGAGGCTTCATCAAACCTCACTAAGTAGTGCCCGCTCGGGACGCTAATGTTGTAGCAATTGTCAGGCCCATCTGTGATTTCGAAGTAGCGTAGCGTGTTGAGTTGCGGCGCAATTCTATTTGTCACGTTCAGAGGTGCGGAGCTGCCCCCTGTGTAGCCTCTATCTTTGGACCAATTGTATCCAGTCTCTAGTGCAACGGAGTCGACGGTGGAGCCACAAGCAATCCGTACCTCAAATGGACCTGAGTACACAGAAGAATTTTCAGTAGTGATCGGAAATCTTGGTACTTACAATGAGGAACCGAATTCGCACAATTTGATTGCTATATCTTCAAGATTTGATCTGTAGGCAATTATCTACATGCACGAGACCTAATTCAAAAGTTATCTACATGTACGAGACCTAATTTTGAGCAACATTCCAGAAAATCGAATGTGCATCTTCATGCATTCACTTTCGGAGCATAAGGATCGGTTACCGACAGTGCAAGTTGTCGCTAGAACTACGCCGAGTTGATTCCAAGTCAGAGGACCAGCGAAGGACATGGGAGTTAAACTTGACAACCTTACCTTCATTTTCAGCGGCTGTGAAGGGGATCCCAAAAACGCTGCAAATGATCGCAGCCATGACGACAAAGGCTGCTCCTGTGATGTCCATGTCCTCAGATTATGAGATTGCCAACACAGCGAAAAGTTTCTTTAGAATTGTCACTAGATCTTTGCCTTGTACACCACCCAAGTTCAGATCAAATTCAGTTCCCCTATTCTGCTTCAGGAATTCCACAACTTTGCAGTTACCAGTCCTGTCACACCTCTGAACCGAGAACTCCAGTGGCAATTCCGGTATTACCCCGGTAGTCTCAACGTGCATGATAGAGTTTCTATACAATTTATTTCACTACGCCGTTCCATCATCACTAGTGGTTTGGCCTAAGCTTGAAGAATCTGTGTTCAGCACGCATCTCTTCCATCGTACTGACAATCAGATTCCACTCTCTTCGCCATCGTTTCGTCTCATTATAATTCCTGCTGCAAGTCCCTTAAGAGTCGTACAAATCCCCCGAGTCTTCCACCGGTTATCTGCACCCAAATATGCTTGTAAAACAAGAACAAAGTGTCTTCCAGAAGATCGCCACCAATCGCCGAATCCAATCTCGATAGCTCCAACTACTGAAAATTGGCAGGATCATGCGGCTCTGTGCTCATAAACTAGCCTTGTCACATAACCTAGCCTTGACACATAACCTGATGTGAGGACTCCACAACCACAACGGCAACGTCTTACCACCTACAGACTAGCTCAGAGTTAAAGTCTCGTCTCACTACGGCCCAGACAGCCCAGTGCCAAACCACAACAGATCCCTTGCGCTTGAAATGGATTGCAGTAACAAATCGACCAGCAGCGCATCGCCGCGTAGTCCACCCACTTCCACCTTTCGTCTCCTCTTCTCAACGCCTGCAGACCATCACCCAGACGTGCCATCAGCGGAGCTCAGCGCCACATTTCCTGCTAGATCCAGCCCCAAAATCTCAAGCCAGAACATCCGAGTCCAACAAACCCGCGACATTCGAGACAACCAGTCAGAGTCCTTTTAGACAAACGAAGTCATGCCCGGGAGAAAAATCTTCCGAGCGTTGCGAAATGGTGACAACTGCACGTTCTGAATGTGTCATCTACAGCTTCTCGGGGATTTTTTCTTGAGCTGCGGCAACCGAAAAATCAGCAAATACCGCAGAAAAAACATCGAATCTTTATCTTCGGAATGACATGTTGTCTGTAAATGGCAGCCACTGGAGAGCATAATTCTCCTGCTTTGCGGTTCCGAGGTGTGGGTTTTTCTACAAGGATGAGGCGCATTATGCAGCCAAGCATTAAATGCCCGACGACGAAATGGCAACATTGAGTTTGGGAGCCCAAATTTAGCCTCTTCGCTGGACACGGCGAAAGCACGGAAAGCCTACGAACTAGCGCGGAATGGAGTAGCTCAGCCTTAATGGATGAATAATTATGGATGATTATCACATTCGTCCCAGTTCTCATCTTTGTGTTCTTCTCGGAACGTTCCTTGGATTAAATATGGTGTTCATAAAACTGTATGTGATTCAGCAAGTTCTATTGTGAGGAGGCATGAAAATGGGAGAACCATTATTCAATCCTAAAATGTATTATTGGTTTTATAGAACGGATTTGATGACATATATTTCTGAATTAGGTAGGAAGTTACCTAGTTCCAAGTATCTTTGAGCTATGGATTTTGAACATATCCAAATGGTGGTTGGTGCTATTTATTGATTTTTTACTCAATTGAAACGACCTAAAGCTGGTTTTTACCTAAAGCTTGCAAGGAGGTTATGTTTAAATGGTTAATTTGGCATAAAAAGATAGCATTCAATATTTAGAGGACAAAGAAAAAATTCAAGTACAAAGGATTATTGTAATTTGCATATGCCTAGAACATTGGAAAGAATTATCTATAAATTTTGGAAATGTATCAATGTTTGTCAAATATGGAATTGGGTAGTGTCTTTTTTATGTGTACTAATCTTAAGTCTACAAAAATAAAAACTATAGAAATTGCTTGCTTCTATGTAAAAATTGCTTTCTTCTATATAATACAAATTTAATATAAATAAGTGCATCAAAAAAAATTTAAAAAAGAAGCCAACAGACATGAAACAACACTAGAATAACTTCGTGGGATTGCAAGAATATCAAAAAATAATTTAGAAAAGTAAGTTTGTAGCAAATATAGCACATAGAAGACCTTCAAAATAAGATATTTCTAAAAATTCAATATACATTGGTTGTTGCTAAACTAATTAGCTTTTAGTTGTTTCAACTCAAGTTTGTAAGGTATTTAAGTTTAATAGTTTATACTTGGTCTATGAATAATTATCTTTAATATTGTCAAAGGCTCAATGGCTTTAATGTTTCTCACATAATTACAAATAGTGATGCATGATATTGATATTTAAATACGAAATATGTACTACAACTACAAAAGGGGCCTATAGAGAATGAGTTAAAAGCAAAAATTGAATGATAGAAGGAAGAGAAGAAACAACTTAACTACAAAGACATAGCTATCTAGTAGACTTTGATATGAATGATAAGATAAGTAAGTGCCTAAATAGAATAGAAGCCGCTACTACTAAGAATAAAGTTGATCTTTAAGAGTTTGACAAATTGCTATAAGAATTCTTGAAGAACCAAAGTCGAAAAGATAGTAGCAATGGCTTGGTGAGTGACTTCATTTGTTATATTCCATCTAAAACAAAGTTTACTGAACATAGTCTATCCAATGTAAAGTGAGCTGAACAAAGGTGTTAAGAAATATATAAGGATTTTAAATCTAAGATAAATGAAGGAAATTTGGACAAAGATAGCTATAATAAAGGACAAATTTTTGATTCTTTAGTAGTACTACAATAAAGAAGATATGAGATAAATTTGTTATTCAAAAAAGAAACTTTAATAAGAATGAAGATGTCAAAGATTTATTGGTCAAAAAGAAGATAATGTATATGTTTTATTTATAATTAGAAAAAATATATAATTCTAATATATTCATGAATAGTTTATATTTAAATTAATAAAGATTGTAAATATTATAATATTATTATATTTTAGCAACTTTTTTTTATATGATTTATTTATATTTGTACATAAAAAATAGCTCTAAATTAATAATAGTATTACTTATTTTGAAAAAATCTAATTATGCCTGATGATTTAAATATCAATAGTTAAAAATAGAATTTATAGAGTTGTAATGGCAATGAAGAAAATAAAATTATCTTAGTAACTTGATACTTTTGAATTTTCAAAAGTTGATAATCTTATTGTGTTAGATTTGGAAAATTATTTATCAAAGCTATATGCAATAATGAAGTTACAACTAAAAAAAGCTCAAGAATGACAAAAGATCAACGTAGATGTATATCACAAGGAACAACTTTAATTTTAGGTTGACAATAAGATATGATTACTTTGTTGTAATATTAAGACTATTTGCTCTTGTGACAAATTGAATTATTGTAGACTTGGACCATTTCTTCTTTCTAAACAAATCAATCAAGTTTCTTATTAATTACATCTATTGGAGTCTATGAAGATCCATCCCATGCTCCATGTATCTCTTCTTTAGCCATACAAGGCAATAGATATACTAAGAAGAAGATTATTTCCACCTTCTTCAATAGAAGTAGATAATAATTAAAAATATGAAGTTGAAGAAGACTTTGATTCAAGGCGGCACTAAAAGATGTTAAAATGTCTTGTTCATTTGCACAAATATGATATTAGTGAATGTACATAGGAACCAACAAAACATCTTATAAATGTAGTAAAGAAGATTGATGTTTTTTATTAATGACATCCATCAAAATTAAAATAAAGAATAAAAAATCTAATTAAAATTAGCTTTTAAATAAGCATTAATAACTAATAAATCTAATTTAAAAGTTATTATTTGTTGAGTTATTGGACATGATATTGCCATTGTCATAGCCTTGAAGATGATATAATAAAATTGAAGATCCTCAAGAACAACATGTTTTTCCTCAAATAGATAGTGAAATACAATGTATTTGATATAACAACTTTAAAAGAGACTCTTGATATTTGGAAATATTATTGAAAGCAAAAACCACTATTAACAGTATTTTAAATATATTATTTGAAAGAAGTTACAAAGGCCTTAATAATGTTTAAATATCAACATGGTCTTCTTGTCATAAAATATGACATTATCATTGGCTCAAAGGACCTATCAATTAACTTTGAAGGAAACAAAGGTCAAAATATGTTATAAATATAATTCATTGCATCTTAGACTTTATCAATATATAATCACTATTCATTGTAGAACTTATCTTTAGAACAAAGAAGAAGAGATAATATTATGGACATATATATTTACACTAATATATTACCTAAAAAATATGAGTATGTAGATGTAGATTAAAGTAAATAAATTCAATAATATCTTATAGAATAGCGTCTTCAAAGCTTCATAGTCATAGCTTTGCCTTTATACATGTTTATAGATGATTGATAGGTTTGAAACTTGGTGAAAAAGTTAGCCATAAGTTGCACATGTTGGTAGCTTATGGTATAAATTAATCATGTAGAGCACATATATGAAACTACTTTTATAGGTCAAACACATATCCTATAAGTTTGATATATGTTCAAGGTCCTATAGAACATTATCATGTAACTCCTAGTTAGAAAGTATATATAAAGGCAAGAGTAAGGCCTTCCTTACTCTTATCAACTCTTTCCTTACTTCTAGTTTAGTTTCAAGAGTCTCTAATTTTCTAATCTTTAACAATAGCTATTCCAATTTCTTCTTGAGTATATATACTTTCTTATTTATATTTTGTTATCTTTCATTGATGTATATCTCACTTTTTTATGTATCTTTATTGAGTTCTTATCCATGATACCATCTAAGATCCACCATTTTGTACATATATTTTGATATAACTTCAAATAGTCATTTTTTTTCCTTTGATACTTCAAAACTAAGAATTATTAGCTTATAAATAATCTAATTTATATAAATTTAGTATTATTTTATTTTTAATTCTAATAATAGAAAAATAAAGATTTTATCTTTAAAGTTATATAATTTTATTTATGAAGGCAATAAATTAATTTTTACTAAAATTTACTAATAATTAACTTATTAAAAATTTTATTAGAAAAAATTCAAAATTCTTAAGAGATTTTGTAAAAATAATAAACTTTAGTCTATTTTCTTCTTAAGTTGAGTATGAATCTTAGACTTATAGCATAATTATTAATATAAATAATTGATGTATTAAAATATTTTGAGATTTTTTATTTTATTTATAATTTATTATAATTAATTAAATTTTTTTAATAATAAATAAAATAAATCAAGTAATAAGTTATAAATATGTTATTATTGCTATTAAGATCTTATTTTGTTATAATTATTAAATTTTTAATATCATCTATAATATTTTAAATATAATTATTTTTTAATTCACATTTAAAGCCTTGATTTTTTTTCTATACACTATTCTTATATGATTTTTATTAATAAAAATAAGGTTGATAATTATTACCAATATATAAAAATATGATTTATTAACTATTTATTAAAGTAATTTACTTAAAATGCTTACTACTAAACCATTTTGACATTCTAGCCTTACTAAATAGAAAGATTGAATAACCTCATGAGTCAATATAGGTCTCTTGATAATATTATTAAGTCTTTCGAAATAACCTAAAATTAAGATAAAAAAACATTTGCTTAGATACCTTAGTTATCATGTTGATATTATGAAGTAATAAATATATAAGAAATCAAAGAAAAATGAATAGTTTCAAGTAACAAATATATTAAGACACTTATACAAGCTTTAAAAAATATATATCCATAATTGATTATATATCTTAATACAAATCCAAAAGATAAATTTTAACTATCTTTTTAAGTAATATGAAGAATATCAAAAATATAAATAATAGTTTTAAAATATAAATCCTTTTCATATATTTAAAGGTTTTATAATATTATTATATAACCTTAAATTTTTTAAATAAGATTGTATCTTTGAATTTATTTCAAGTGTATTTTTGATCAAATCTTATGCACATATTTATACATATTTATATATTTTATATACATATAAATTTAATATAAATAAATAAATACATAAATAAATTTAAAAATATTTATTATTTAAATAAAATATTAAATTTTATTTGAATAAAAAATTAAATTTTATTTGAATAAAAAATTAAATTATTAAATGGAAGAATCTTTTATGATTCTTTTATTTTTTAAAATAAGAAAATTTACAATAATATTTATATTATT